CGCGCCTCCTCCCGCCACCACCGCGAACACGCATCTTCCGCAAGAGGAGGGTGTCCAAGATCGCGACACCAGCAAGAACGGATTTCGCGATTTGCGAAAGCGCATCTCTCGCCATCTGCAAGAACGGATTTCTCGCGATCTGCGAGGAACGCCATATCGCTCGCCAATTCACGTGGAGCCCCATATCGCTCACTCGCTCGCTCGGGAACCACGAAGCGCATCCTCCACCCTCCTCCGTGGTGTGTCCGCACACTGCCACCACCCATAACGCGAGATCTACGTGGAGGAGCAGAATCTGCACGATATGATATGAGCCCGCTGTGATTTCTGAGTCGCGGATCAGGTACTTAGTCACTCGCCCCTCCTCTCCACCACGCGCGCACTCTCGTCTCCGATCCTCCGTGCTCCCGCAGCGGTACCCCACCCTTCCTTCCCCAGCGGTCCCCGTTCGCATCATCCTCGTATGCGCAGCCCACTACGCGCCCGCATCTTCGTCTTCTTCGGCGTCGTCGCTAGTACCACCGCCGCGCCGGGAAGAGTCCACAGCCCGGGAGCAGCATGTCGTCGTCGTCAGGAGCTGAATGTGGACATCAACTATGCGCGACCGCAAAAGGGCGCGACTGGCAGCGTACCACTGTGCACGGCGGGTCTCCCCTGCCTCTCCCCCTCCGCCTCCTCGGACACGCGGGGACGTGCGCAGAGTCGCGCGACTGCACGATGCGGGAGTCCGGGCTCGAGGAGGAGCACTTCACCTCGCGCGCGGCTGTGCACTCGCCCCGGGCTCATTTCTGCGTGCGCGCGTACCCCACTAGCGCGTCCGTGCGCGGATTTGACGTTCATTCCCCTGGCCCACTTCCTCGACCTCGGGGAGGATGGGTGGCGCGCGTGTCGTCTCCGTCGGCGTCGGTGGCGCGCATCTCCGTCCGTGGTGGAGCGCGCACGCACGCCTCGTCTGCGTCTGGGTCGGTGGAGAACTAGGAATAATCCATGCGCGCCGCGGGCGGGAGGCGTGAGCGCGTACACGTCCGGATTCGTGGTGGATTGGCACCGGGGGATGGGAATGGGAGGGTGGAAGGTGGAACCGCAAGAAGGCGATTTCAGCGTCCGGCAAATGAGGGCGTAAAAAGGACGGGCGGCGTGGTGAAGGGAAGCGGGCCGGGCGACTCGGAGTGACGGACGCAGAGCTGTGAGCGCGAGGCGTATGCAAGCAAGCAGAGAGTATGATGGGGGAGAGGGGAAGTGGGAAGGGGTAGAGTAGATGCGGCCAGACAAGCAGGCTCTCGAGTTAGCTAAGGCGGGAGGTAGAACAGAAGGGGTGAATCACCGCGCTACCTCCTGCTTCCAGCGCGCGTTTCTGGTCCATACGCATCCCGGATCTACGAATCCGGTGTCTTGCTCCACCCTCTTCGTATTTGGCGCCCAGCGCCGGCAGCCGATTGTACACGACGGGGCGGGAGGATCATCCACGCCCGGATTGCTGAAGCAGCGCGTTGTTGCTTGCCTTCGTGGAGGATTGGAACGGCGGTACTGACGGGCAGGGCTGAGCCAGCGCCGTTGTGGAAGTGCATGGAAAGATGGACGACAGACATGTATTGTAGCGTACGCAATGACGGGTGTACGGCGCAGAAGCCTTGTAGAAGTCTTGTAGATGCACCACCGGATATTGAAGCCTGCAGGTCCCAGTCGGAGAATTTGTGCGCCAAGACATGGTGGAACTGCAGTCTACGGCGAGGGCGTGTACCCGTAAGTCGAGCAGCTAGGGAGTCATCCTATCGGCCAGTCAAGACTCGACGACTTGGACGACAAGAGCAGAGCAAGGTGGAAGCGGAATTTGAATCGCGCTCACGTGCTGATCTGGCGCGCGTTCGCGTTCCCTAGTACACGTGTCCGGTTTCTCCACCTCTATGTCAAAAATTAGAGTTTTCTAACGATTATCTCCTTCAGTCCCACCTCCAGTCGCGAAAACCAAAATTGATTTCGCTTTCCTCAGCATAAATTCAACCATGTACTGTAGAATTTCATTCAATTCGACCGTCACGCATCACGCACCCCCTAGTCGGTGTCGAATATCCGCGCCGCGTCACGCGTCACGCCCCCGCTGACATAAAATCCGTCACGCAGGCCCCAAAATGTCAAAGTTTGCGCCCGCGACATGAAATGGATAATTCTAATCAGCAACCCCCGTACTCTGGGTATGGGGGGTTGCTAAATAGAATATTCTAATCAGCAATCCCCACGTGATAAGCTCGGCTAGGATAATCTGTGCTCCGCCATACCGTGCCGTGCCGCATTCCACTCGCAATTACCAGAAGAGTAAGAATATGTTGCGCATCATCTTGTTTGAATAGCTATGGACAGCATTTGACGAGACAGCCTCAAAATTTTCATCAATCTGTAGCACTGCCAGTGGGATCTAGAAATTTCGACTGCCTTTGGAACACCTTCAAGTTGAAGTTGACATTTCAAGCACCTTGGCTGTCGTGATACACTTTGTGATAAACTCCGCTCCACTCTGAACCTGCAATATGTTTTACCGGAGTTTTATAAGCTGAAGCACTGCATTCACAGCCTCTCGACTCTCGAACATTGCCTATAGCGCACTATTTTGCAATTTTGAGACTTCGGAATCGACCGATTGGACAAAAACCACTTTATTTGTTGAGAAGAAGGGCGGGAGTACTCAGTACTGCTCATGACAACGGCAGCATCGGCGGTAGCATTGATCCGGGTGGGGATTGCTGAATAGTAAAGATCATGAGGGTTGTGAATAGCGGCAACGGTACGGGGGTTGCTGATTAGAATTATCCACATGAAAAACCTAAATTTTCGTTCCGATGGTCGAATTGTTAATTTAGGTCACGCGGCACACCCCAGGTCGATTTGATCGAAATACTACAGTACTTTGAATCTTCAAGGCATCTGGCAAATTGACATCCCTCGAAGCGGAGAATAACAACAACAAATCGAACTGGATGGCTACCTCTTTCATCGAGTCTTCAACCTCTCCGTTGGGTTCGCACATAGGAAATAATCTGTGAATTTAAAGCACATTATGAATCTCGCTTCCCACCACCTGCGCGCAATCTCACCCTGAATATTTGCATACGCAGATAACACCCGTTGTTGAATTTCGCAGGATGGCACAAAAGGCTTGGGATAAAGACATCCTCGTTAATGATATGTCGCACATCCTTCATGATATTGCGTGCACTAACAATAAGTTAACCAAGAATCTCTGCAAGTACAGTAATTTTATGGAAACCCGGAGCATCACGCTTTTTTAGCGAGGTCCGGCAGTGATGCCGGTTGATGGCATGTGTTTACCAATCAAGGGACCCCGAAGACCAGGAGCTTCGAGCATGCCTTGGTTGTGAAAAGGCAAGCCTTGTTGCCTCTAAGGCAAAAAAAAAGAGGGTTCATTAGTCCAGTACACCAATATTCAGCCAGAATTGTAACTGGCGTACAGATGACCCTGGTGCTCTGTTCTGGCCAGAATGTTGAAACATTTGAGAAAGAGCCCCACCATGGTTGCTGAAGCCTGATTTACATGCCCGATTGGGTCCATCAAAATATCCTCGGTAAATCACGTGACCTACGCGTCAAACTCTTATCGCGTTAATTATACGGTGGGCAGCGGGCATGAGCGTGTCATTTTGTATTTGAGACGCGCTTTTTTATGTATTAGTATCTTAAGTCTCTCACCATCATGCATTTGACCTCAATAGAGAGTGTACACCACTCGTTAGGAATGGTCTCTCATTGAATTGAGTATTGTGTGTGATTGTAATCGGAAACTTGAAGTTCAAGGTGGGGCATTATACTCATAGCTCGGAAAATTCTGCTGCTCATTTTGTGGGAAAATAGGTAAATACACAGCACTCTGCAATTATTCAGTGTGAATTTATCCGGATTTATTATGGGACCCCATGTTTTAAAAATCATTCAAACAATGCAAGACGTATGAAGGAAAACACAGTCGTGTGACGAAATTACCGCCAGTACATCTGACCACCAGATTTACTCACCGTCCATCTAATATCACACCAGATTGTGTGGTTTTGCAAAATGTGTTCGGAGTTGTGGAGATTCTCATGTAACTGAAAAGCATACTATATTGTATCGAGTTAGGCCTCTGTGTCCTTCATAGACCGCAGTTCAAACCATCTACAGTACTTGTTGCAGACATGCTCCTCAGGGAAAATCTTACCAACGGTTCCGATCTGGATGAATGGTAGTTTGGAGTTCAATGTAAATACTCTGGTCATTATTTGTGGGAGTTCACCGTCGTGAAATGGAAATTGACCATTGAACTCCGATGACATTTCACAATTGTGGTCAATTCGTAGGTACAAAGTCGGATTCTATGATTAATATTGTCAATTATCCTTGTTGAATGTATGCTTAAACGGTGTACGGTGCCTCTCCTTGAACGGTTTCGGGGGTCTCACGACCGAAAACGGCAACTACGATGACAAGCCATCAACCGGCATCACTGCCGGACCTCGCTAAAAAGCGTGATGTTCCGGGTTTCCATATAATTTCCACTCGACTCGGATCGCTGCAGCCCGAGGCACCGATTCCCCTGTTTAAACTTGAACTTATACCTTATACTTCTAGTTGACACTTGCGCGAGTTGGTTTCTTAGGGTCGCTGTGAGCTGTGAGCCGTCCATTTGAAAATTCAGATATGTTAATACAATAGGGTGCATCATTTAGGTTTAATCTATTATTTACTGCTCTTTGCAGAACTTAGGGCGCGGCTACTATTTTTGCTTTTTTGGGTCATTTTTGATCATTTTCTGTATATCATCTGTTCTGGGCTGGATTCGCGTCCGTTCATCTCGGCGCAGGGCGCGTTTGATTCGCACTGTAAATCCGCAGGGGATGGCTCCTTACTTTTTTTCCCCTCGCTCACTCCTTGCATTCATATCAATGGAATTTGTGAACTTGTGGGCGAAGAAATGGGAAACAAAAAACACGGTACTTATTTGAAAATTACATTTGAGACGCGGGGAGTCGAACCCCGGCCTGCTGCAGTAGACAATCGTGCTACAGGACAGATTGCAGCGGTGCACCCTGCACCACGTCCCATTATGTTTCCTTGCTCGCTCGCCGGCAATGTACCATAATTTCCAGGGTTACAATCAGCATAGACGGGATTGAGAATAATTCAACCATCTTGTCTGAGGTTATGATTGAATAGTTGCAGGTTCGCGACTCAATCCACAGCATTCGGAAACTTGTGGGCTATATGTGGGACGCGGGGAGTCGAACCCCGGCTTGCTGCTGTTCAACCTGTACCCAGTCTGGCGCATTGAATGCAGCGGTGCGCCGTACACCACGTCCCATCTATTCCGCTTGTTCCTTCCCTAGATTTATATCAGCGAAATTGAAGAACTTGTGGGTAAGGAAGAGTCAAGACGTTAATTCTTAGAAAACCAAACTCCATAGCGAAGTAGGGACCAGCGCTTTCACTCGCTTATCATATTTTTCATAGGACCTTCTCAAGGAATGGGTTTCTGTAGTGTATATTAAATAGCTGATGGACCTGGATTATTGAATGTAGCGGTGCACCGTACTGTATTTTTTCATGGAATTCGGCGGTCACACGTCACAGGGGAGGCTGTCGACGTCGAACTTTGGTTGTCCATAATACGTCACACGGGTTTGTGTCGAATTCGTCCAACGTGACATCGACTAGGTTCGCCTGGAAGTGCTGGTTTTGCGAAATTTCGCGTCGAAATTGGCGGTTTTGTCACGCCAATTTTGCTGGTTGTCGAAGTGTCTGATTGGTTCAACCTGTCACGCATCACACCCAGTGCCGAATTGAACGAAAAAATACAGCATCTCAATTTCAGTCATCGTATTGACGTCACACTAACATATCTCCGTTCAGTATCCCGCATGGTATAACACTGTTAAGCGTGTCGACGTCTCTGTGTACTACGGATTGGTTTAGTGTTGTCCATCATCTCTTTTGACTTTCGTGCGGGTGTGATCTCCCTCGCGGGAGATTAGAGCTGTCTTACCTTGTTATATTAATACAGGACAGTCAACGTGGTGTGGGGTTGGCACACTCGAAGGGTCTTTTATACAAAGGAAAAACGAAATCATAATTAGGATGGTTCTAAAGCTACGGCTACACAGCTGGGACGGGGCAAAATGAAGGGTGAAGTGGGTGGCGAAGATATATAAGTGTAACTTGAGCTTGAGGTGTCAGGAAGTGGGGTGGCGCCGTGTCAGATGCAAGTGTACAGGCGACAGGCGCGGCCTTCTACATCCGTAGCCTGTAGTGTAGATTCTTGTTAAGTACGGGATGCATGACGCAGCACCGAAAGCGCACCTCGCGAGCTTCGGCATCGACGGGAGAGCTGAAGGGCGTGGGGGCAGCGGCTACAAAGAAAGCAGCTGAAATTTTCAAAGTCAAGCTCCCGCCACGACAAGTTGCGGAAAAATCCGACACACCGAAAATGAGAACGAGCGTGGCGACAATGTTAAGTTGCATGGTGGTTCTGGAGATTCGGGTGGGTGGGAGGTGGTAGATGGTAGATTCTGGTGTGCTTGGGCGATGGCAGGGCTCTTATCCATCTCATTTGCGCGCAAGGCACTTATAGCGAGCCGTGACAAGGCGAGATCCGAAAAAGGAAAGATTGAGAAACCAGGTAAACTGATCGCCGGATGCTATCGCCAGAGTGCCCTTGTACTTGAGTGCAGCATCCCAGTTGTTCTGCGTTTCCGCCGAAGTCTCTGATGCTTGCCGATGAAAGGGAACACCCAAATCGAGAGAAATGCCGGCAATTATAGTAAGACGTTTTGATCAGTGTGGGCGCGCGACGAATGTGGCGCAGTAGCGCTCGGAAACCAACGGTGATGGGATGTCAAAGTTCGCATCAGAACTAACAAGAGGAGGGCCGACTTGGGTACGAGGCCCAGTTGATATCAGTTGGAAGGATCTATCGAGAATAGTGCCGATTATCAGCTAACTGCAGGATGACAAGAATGTGTGGGGTCTGGTGAAATTGGCGCGGCAGGCGCGGCACTGACGCGCGTTGACGCGGCAGTGACGCGCTGTGACGCGGCGTGACGCGCGATTGACGCGGCAACTGGCGCGCCGCATCCTACTAATCACAGGTTGGTTCCTTGAGCTCGGGACCTCTGTTCGCAAGGTTTACTGATCAAAATCCATGATCTGAGACCAAAAAATCCTTACCTTACTTTTCACTAATTAGCGCTAATTAGTCCAGACTCCTAGTGGTTATTGGCTGTGGTACTAGTGTGCCGCCTCTTACTCGCTGCCTTGACCCAAAATCCCATTCTCTGTAACAGTATACCCGTATATTAGACCCCGAATTCAAAATTTGATTAGCTTAAGTCCATTGCCCAGTTCTTGGACCTCGAGAATTTACATAAATCATTCCTTGACCGGAAATTGGATTGAAAATAAGAATTTAACACAAGTCTGCAGACATGGATTTGAATTCCAGCCAGCCCACAGTGAATTAAAATTGAAATTACGCGACTACGATATGTATGGGAAGTGAGGTACACTCCTCCCCTGGTTGAGATGGATCTACGCCGCCGGAGAGGAATATTCAAACGAAAATAATATGTAATGCCATCTATATTCTGAGACTCGTTGTGCACCTATTAAAATTTACGCGTCGATCGGCATGTGCCTAACATCCTCGGCTCCGAAAGTCGAGTCCAAAGGCTATCCGCACAAAGTTAATGATATAAAAGCATCACTTGAGCACAAATCCAGTCAGTATATAAAGTTTCACCTCCCCAAGCCTCTGATTTTTGCTCACACACTGAATTCAGCTGCATTAACCAACTGATGTCTCAGAGTCTGGAAATAAATGCCCAGGGGATCCGCAAAAACTCTCCCAACATCCCAAGCCAAACGGGGATGCAATATAGGCCAGATGATCCAACCATTATATGTTTTAGATACACAGAGGGTTCTACAAATGATTCGTTTTTGGGCTATGTCAAAATTGGAACTCAACAATCGCTGGAATTACTTATGCCAGCTGGAGGGATCGTAATGGAGCCCAGCGGTATTTACTAAGCAATAGCACCTTTGAGGAGAGCTCTGCATTACTTTAATGAATCCACAAGCTGCAACCAACCACAAATCACTCTCGCACCAGAGGCTGCCATTTCCAACTGAAGTATCCGATGCTCACCCCTTGCAAATATAATATTAGCGGGGTTTGAAAACAATTGTGGGGACTCGAGACCTACTTGGTGTGAGGTTTTGATATATATATATGACCAATATAATGACCCAGATAAAGGATCCAATATGAACTTCAGGCGTCAACCCAGATTTCAACGAAGGAGGAGGTTGAATGTTGAATATGTCCCATGAGACGAGGACCTGACATAACCTTCACAGTGAATACAAATGTGTTCAGCCAGGACCTACCACAGGGGAAAGACGAATACATGGAGTAAATCCAATATGTGGGATGCAGTCTATGAAACTCAGCCGTTGATAGTACGGAACGGGATAAAAATTCCAGTCTGAATTGCTCATATGACCTCGGAGTGCCAGGAACAATCTGGTCAAAGCATACTACCTGAACAATCAACAGCCTCGCACTGCTACACAGAGAAAACTATGGAGCTAAGGTTAAGCGCAGCAGAAAGTGATTTAATGCCGGCATCAGCAAAAATGCAGTGGAATGATCTAAAGCAGTTGGTGCGTCGAATGTCGACTGATGGGGGAATGGAACACAGAGAAAATGTGACAAAGGGCCTCAAAAATCAAACACATTACACATCTGGAAGCATGCCTGGTGGTCGTGTGGTAGGAAAGAAAAACATGGGATAGGTGCTGAGATTGTGATGTACAACCGCCACTGACAGATGTTGCACATTTGGTGCTCGAACATCGTACTACTACATAAAACAATGGCCATTCCTGTCTCCCTAGCTCATACATACATCCATGAAGTCAAGGCAAGAAGACGAGCACAGTGCCTCATATAGACTCCAGAATTGCGCGGATTCCATTTAAGATCACAGTTTTCAAACTGTTGGAATTCATCTTCTCACAAATAATCTTTGAATTTTACCCAGGACCCTTTCCAGACTGTAATACTTATCACTGTCTCCCAGACTTTTATACGCTGTGTGAAAATTCTTGGAGTTATGAAAGATGAATCAAATTTATAGTGTGAATCTCGTCTCCTGCCATGGTGTCATTCCTTGGCCCTCGTCATGAACTGAGGCAATTACACCACTGTACGCGTGGTCTTTCTGGGGAGTGCTGTCAATTTCTTCTACAATTCGAGTCGTTGGAACCCAGTGCAGTAACTTTGCAAGTCATGGCAAATTACTGCGTGTTCAATCAGAATGCCGCGCACAAAAACATAGGATCTCATTGAGGCCTGAAGGATTAATTGAAGGGCAGAGTGGAAATGTGTTTTTTCAGACCCCAGTATGATCCCAATTTCATGTAGATCATGAGCAGAGGCTCGCAAAGAGGGAGGGCCACTGGCGCGCATTGACGCGGCGGTGGCTGTGTTGACGCGGCAGCAACGCGCATTGACGCGGCACTGGCGCGCACTGACGCGGCACCGGCGCGCCCTGACGCGGCAGCGGCGCGGACCGGCGCGGAGAATGACGCGGCGTCGATGCGGCAAGAACATATTGATTAGGGTGTTTTGAGGGTTCCAAAATATGTCTGAATGGGTAGTAATATGCTGTGAAGCAAGTTGGAGTTTGAGGGCTTAATAGACAGGGACCTGGCCCTCGACTGCCAGGATTTTGCACCGAAGTCCTTAGTTTTAGAAGGATATTCACTGGGCTATTAATATCTACTCACTAGGGATACTACCTACGATATATTCTGAGCTGTCTTCAATCTGTGGAACACCTGGTAAAAGGTTTAAAATTGCCGCGCCAAGCCGCGTCAACGCCGCGCCGGTCCGCGCCGCTGCCGCGTCAGTGCGCGTCAGTGCGCGCCTGCCGCGTCAATTTCCCCGGACCGGAATGTGTGTGGATGTGTGCGCATCCATGTCCCGTGAGACGCAGATCGCGTTTCCAAGGTTCCACCGTCTGCATGTACTTAGATGTCTAAACAATTCGGGAACTTGATGGACAGTTTTTATTACTTCAGGTTTCCCGATATATTGAAGGATCAGTCCAGCAGATACCACGGCTAAGGTTCTAGGCGAGAGAGAATTATCAAGTCCAAAGTCGAAGCACAAGTCTAAGCAGGATCCCAGAGAAGCTTGGGAAAGCATTAAGAATTGAGATTTTGAGATATACTGTATTTTTTCGTTCAATTCGGCGGTCACGCATCACAGGGGAGGCTGTCGACGTCGAACTTTGGTTGTCCGTAACGCGTCACACGGGTTTGTGTCGAATTCGCTCAGCGTGACATCGACCAGGTTCGCCTGGAAGTGCTGGTTTTGCGAAACTCCGCGTCGTAATCGTCGCTTGTGTCACGCTAATTATTGAATTTTGTCAGTTGTCGAAATGTCGAATTGGTTCAAGGAGTCACGCATCACAATCCCCGCCGAATTGAACGAAAAAAATACAGTACACCATGTCCTGTTTCTCCTCGTTTGTTCCTTGGGTTTATATCAGGGTAATTTAGGAACTTGCGGGCGAGTAAAGTAAATCCTTGCTAGACCATGTCCCATCTGTTGCTTTACCCACTCCTTGTATCTATATCAGCCGAATTTAAGAACTTTGGTGCGAGGAAATAAATCCTTGCCAGACAAAAGAAAAATCCTGAGAAAGTCTTGCAGATGGGACGCGGGGAGTCGAACCATGGCTTGCTGCTGTTCAATAATCCTATCAAATGATTGAATGCAGCGGTGCGCCGTGCACCATGTCCCATTTTTTTCCTCCACTCGGTCTGTGCATGTATACCAGTGGAACTTGGGAACTTGGCTGCGAGGAAATGAATCCTTGCCATACAAAAGAAAAGGATCTTTTGCAATAATTTTTAAGCGGGGCGCAGGGAGTCAAACCCCGACCTGATACAACACCATCGGATATTTGGTACTCTGTAGCGGTGTGCCGTACACAACGTCCTTTTCTCCCTGTACACTGAAACCCAAATAGATGCAAGATTTGTGAAGTCACAAATCGGTCAGTGCTCGAATCATTGGAAACAACTCATAATTTTAATTCGACGTGGGCACTCAAACTTGTAGCGGAGTCGGACGCTCCCAAGACCGAAAGCCCTGCCATGAGATACAGGCGAAACAAAAAGTTTTTATATTCCATTTCCTATGTAGGACGCGGGGAGTCGAACCCCAGCCTGCTGCTTCACTGTCGCCAATGCATCTGAAATCCAATTGAATACAGCGGTGCACCGTACACCGCGTCCCACTTATTCCGCTTGCTCGTCCCCTGGGTTTATATATCAGCGAAATTTAGGAACTTGCGGGCGAAGAAGAATCAAGACGATAACTCCTAGAAAACCAGACTCCATGACGAAATATTGATAGCGGTGCTCTCGCTTGCTTATCATATTTTTCATAGGAGTTTCTCAAGGAAGAACTACTAGCCCTGGGAAAAAAGGTTGCATATCACATCGATAGCGATATGCGGGACGCGGGAAGTCGAACCCCAGCCTGCTGCTTTACTTCTTGAATAAAATCCTACTGAATACTGCGGTGCACCGTACACCACGTCCTACTTCTTCCCCTCGCTCGTTCTTTGGATTCATATCAGTGGAATTCGGGAACAGCGAGGAAATAAATCCTTGCCAGACAAAATAAAACCGTCTGGCGAAGCACCTCAGGTGGGACGCGGGGAGTCGAACCCCGGCTTGCTGTTGTTTAACATTCGTTATGGCCTATTGAAGGCAGCGGTGCACCGTACACCACGTCCCATTTCTTCTCCTGGTTCGTCCCTTGCATTCGTATCGGTGGAATTCGGGAAATTGCGGGCGAGTGAAATAAATCCTTCCTAGGCAAAAGAAAAGGGTCTTTCACAACAATTGCTAAGTGGGACGCGGGGAGTCGAACCCCGGCTTGCTGCTCATTAATACTTCGTGCGACATGATTGAATCCAGCGGTGCGCCGTACACCACGTCCCATTCCCGCTTACCTTGCGCTACTCGGATTTATACGAGGTTCCTGATTTTGAGAGTGTCCATTCCCGCTAAAAGAGAAATAAAAACTTCAAGACATCTCTCCACATGTGGGACGCGGGGAGTCGAACCCCAGCCTGCTGCAGTAAGTGCGAGTTCAGTGGAGATACACATTGCAGCGGTGCACTGTACACCACGTCCCATTTATTCCCCACGTTGCCTGCATTTATATCAGCGGAATCTAGGAGCTGCCGACGAGGAAATGAGAGAAAAAAACATTACAACAATATCTCCATTTGGGACGCGGGGAGTCGAACCCCGGCTTGCTGCAACATATATGACTCATAGATCCTGAATTGAATGCAGCGGTGCACCGTACACCACGTCTCATTTCTTCCCCTAGTTCGTTTCTTGCATTTATATCAGCCGAATTTAAGAACTCGCCGGGAGGAAATGGCAAAGAAAAACATGAGATTCAAGTCAACATGTGGGACGCGGGGAGTCGAACCCCGGCCTGCTACATATTCCTCGATGCAAATATCCATTCAAAGAATGAAGCGGTGCAGCGTACACCACGTCCCTTTCCTTCAATCAATTTCAACCTAAACTTACGCACGACTTCGGGTCGCGTTCTAGTGCCGCGTCTCCGCAAGGCAGGTCCAAAATAAATGTGGGCCTTCACACTAAACCAAGTTAGTTTCACTCGTCTTCTCCTGAGTCTCAGCGGCGAGCAGGTCTTGCGGAAAGAACTTACTGGATCTGGGGAATGCGCGAAGACTCTAGCGGCGGAAAGAAGTGGCAAGAGAAGAAAACTTGCAACATTCAGTATTGGCATGCATATTTATAATTCTAAGACTACAAACAGCTCTATCTGATTTCCTCCCGCTAGCGCAGAGCAGCCTCCATCTTGGGCAGCAGCGACAGCTCGCTCCACCACCAGATCTGCGAGCTGTCCTCCTCGGCCCAGGCAGCCGCCGTCCAAAACGTGTTACGCCGGCCCTCGAGCGCATACAGCTCCTTGTAGAAACCATCCGCAACATCGTGCGGCGCCGCGGCGAGGCGAAAGGGCGCGTGGATCTTGAGAAAATCAAACGTCACGTCCGCAGGGTCGCCCGCGGCGTTGCCGTGCGCGATCATGCGGTCAATCTCGCCGTGGATAAGCGCCTCGATGTCGGCGGCGGTGTAACCGCTCTCCTCGAGCGCGCCGAACCACGCGGCAAAGTGCCCTGTGGACCCGAGCGGCGAGTAGGCGAAGGCGCCCGGGAGCGAGAGCAGGTTGTCTGGGGTGTGCGTGCCGATGTTGATGTACTCGATGCTGGTGTTGAGCCCCGGGTGCGCAAAGACGGTGACGCCGTATGTGAAGCCGTGGAGTTTTGAGAAGATGGCACGCTCGTGCGCATCGAGGTCCATGTGCGCGGATGCGAGCGAGGCGAGCGAGGGCGGGATGGCAACGAGCAGCTTGCGGGCCTTGACGAGCGTGGTCTTATTCCCCGATGACGACGGGGAGGTAGAAAGCACGCAGACGCCGCCTTCTTTTTCTTCTGCCAGTCCAAAACACCCGCCGGACCGATCAACATCAAGCACGGTGCTGTTGAGAAACACGTTCTGTGCGCCGAGATACGTGGCAGCGGCTGTATAAATGTCCTGATTGTCGCCCGAGGCGGCGTTAATAAAACCCTTGAGGATAAACTCGATGAGTTTTGGGTCGAGAGCGTGGATGCCCTGGTACGTCGGCAACTGCCACAAATTGCCAATGTTCTGCGCGAAACTCTCGTAGAACTGCAGCAGGGCGGTGAAGTTGTGCCGCGCCGCAAAGACCGTAAAGGGCTCCAGCAGCTCGTCCGGTACGGGGTATGTCAGATTCTCGTACGAGAGCGTGAGATACGGGTACGTCACGTTAACGTACGCGGCGTAGGCGAGCATCGTGGGGAGGAATGAGTCGACTTGGGCCACGACGTCGAAGTCGGGCACCGTCTTTCCGGTCGCCAGGTCGAGATATACGTGGCCCGTCGCTGCTTCAGGCAAGGGCGCAGTCGGCACGCCGAGTAGCGAGAAGTAGGCGTTGTTGAGGGTGTTGTTGTAGTAGACAGTGACGCCGACGTTAAACGGCTCCCCGGTCGCCGGGTCATGGTACGTCTCGACGTGACCACCTAGCCGGCCCTGCTGCTCGAGTACAGCGACGGACCGTCCGCGGGCAAGAAGATTGACAGCCGCATACGTCCCTGACGAGCCGCCGCCAATGACGACCACGTCGCGGGAGATGGTCTTATAGTCTAGCGGGAGTGAAGCTGCTGCTGCTGCTGCATGCGCGAAGAGAAAGGCTGAGAAGAAGGGGAGCAGAGAAGAGGCCATGATAAGCTCAGTCGTACAATGTGTGCAACTATATGCATTTGCGCTCCCGAGTATGGCCGTGCCTGTACTATGACTTATGCTAATAATATTTCATTAGTCTAATAATAAACCACGCGAGTACCACATACTATTTCCCCAATGGGAAGGCACCGCCTCCGAACAAACGCTGAAATTTTTGAATCAGGTTCGACCTCAAATTTTGGCCTCGAACCTTTTGGGCACGAGCTTTTCTACAGTATTGAAGTGGCATTGCTTGAAAATTGCCCAGAACATGAGTTACCACTGGATTTTGCCATGCATTTGGCTCTCAAAACAAGAGTTGCTATTGAATCGGAATTTCTGCCAGCTATTCAAACACCCCTTAGCTTTTTCTGGCAGCAAAATACATCTCTTATGCACCAATTTATTCATAACGATATCGTCCGGCGACTCAAATTTTTCTGGCCTGGTACAATGACTATCAGGGTGTTTCAAATATCCTATTTCGAGCCCAACTTGGGACCCGACTTCGATTTGGCCCGCCCATTGTACTTCTCGGGACCAAATCCTGATAAATGATGGCCCAAGTTAGAGCCAAGTTGGGGTCGAAATAGGGTCTGAAGTTGGCTGCGAAATAGGATATCTGAAACTCCCTTGAATGGTGGAGACCGCCGATCCGCCACCCCTTTCCAAAAGTTTAAGGGTGATGTTCCAAAGTCTTGGAGCTGATGAGCCAAAAGCGGAGCTTCGGACGGACGTACGAAACATATAAAGAGAGAAAGGAGATCCGGCTTGTCGTTGTGAAACCATACGTCGAGAGGTGAATGTCAGACAAGTTACGGCTTGTACCGAATTATCGATGCCCTGATTACGGGGCTCCTGGAATACCGGGGTGGTTGGGTTAACAATGCTGCTATGCAGCATCCAATATTCAAGGAGACCTGCCGTGGATCCTCCCGTAATGGCCGATATCGTGCACAGAGTGACAAACACACCTAGTCAATAAAAGGGGCGAATCTCAGCAACGCTCGAGGATAACACGTGAGAACACGTGAGAACATGTTGAAGACTGAAACAGCTCGCGGCGCCTTTCTATATGTGAAAATTACGAGCGGGTGCCAGCTGTGTCTTATTGGGCGATAGGGGTTGGGCCGCTTGGGCCGCTTGGGCCGTTCGATTGGTCTAATTTGGGTCTAATTAGATTTCCCTGACAGGACGTCATGTGACTCTGCCGGCGCGGCACGCTGAGTCGCCAAACCTCAACTTGCTTCTTTCTTTTCTTGGGCTGGCTTGGGCGGTAGAATTCTTCGCTACCATCTGTAAGTGTCGTATGAATATGCCTCTGCGTCGCTGGCCACTGCGCTTTTTCCTTTCATCTTCGGCCGACCTGGACACCGGGAGACTCGCATTGGTTGGGACCTGTTGGAACTGTGAGCTGGATATTAGAGACCTGGGTTCATAAAGTAGTCCATAATCACCTGTTTATAGCATTTGGGTGACGACGCCCATACTACTCCCCTACAGAAATAACTTACTTGGTGGATTGCGTTCAACGCAATGGTACCGGACCGGAGTTTTAAATCTAATCTCTCGGGCAATGAGGTCGTGAAGATGTCATTATTCGACAGAATCTTTGGGCAGAGACCCCGCAGAGATACAAGTTGTTCTTTCAGCTCGTTAGGATTTTTAATTTTCAGTGATTCTGAAGACGCCAGTCGCGATTCAACCAAGGTTCAACTGATATTTTTCAGTCTGTTTTGTTTGTGGTGCCTTGAGGCTCCATTTGTGCAATATAACACTTATTTTCGCGAAGTATCTGGTTATTTGATCGCCATCTAAGTCATTCCCTGCTCTTCAAATATTAAAAATGCGGAATTTAGTGTTGGGTGCATGCGGCATCGTGCATCATCGGCCAATCAACGGCAGAGTGGAATGCCGCCGGCAGTACCGGAGATCACCGGGATTATGAAACCATTACTCGGCACCTATTACTCGGCACCTATGAATCGGGTTAAGTTGCTTGTCTTTAACTTCCTGGTGGCGGATCCGACTTCATCGCAATCATTCATCATCTAATGAATCTTACCCTTAGATGGCGCCCTTGGGGGATTGACCTATGTGGCTGCATCCTTGTTGAGCTGGCGTACGAATGGGATGGCACAATTTGGGACCGCGCAGGCAATCCTCCTCCTCCTCTTCCTCCAAAGGGCGTGTCGAAAAACTAAAAATACCCTTATCATCCCATTGAGACCGTACCAAAACATAAACCCTCCGTAGCAACACAAGGAATGGCCGTAGCGACATGCTGCAAGCCAGAAATGTGTTCAGAATGTCAAGAGTTATAGAGATGCACCTTGACCTATTAGATAGTGCTGGCCATAAATACGATACGGGAAAATATTTTTTGAATGTATTCTTCAAAAGTACGACTTGCCGACTAGGAAGTCAACCCTGCAGCCGAGATCTCCAACAGATCTGTTACGAATCGGAGAGTGCGACTTTGATTGAGTTCGCTTGGATCATAATCCTGTAATATTCCCCTCGGGGTCAATCCCAGGCATTATCGCCCCAGTTGGCAATCAAGAGGCTCCCATGCACATATGTGAGGTAGAAGACGAATTTTTAGTTCATTTGATGCAACTTTTTGGCACTCATGGAACCAACAGAATATATTCAAAATATATTAGTATTCAACCTCTGAATATGAATACGATACATTACAGATACGATATGAGCCTGGGGCGTGAATACGATACGAATATGAAATTGGGTACCCAAATGAACCGGACATATAGCTAGGCAAAAACATAAATCAAACCGGTAATGAAGCTAGAGCCCAGCAACGATATCACAATCATGGCACGAAGGGCCCAAGTCGGTACTTTAACATCATGCAATGGGTTCTGCACGTCCGTGAGCTGGCCGTCAGACATGGAATACCCCTCTGATTCGCTGTGGGGATCCACCAGCGGCAACCGGACAAATCCTTCGTCTGGTATCCGCGAATCGTGCAGGATGGCGGCGGTCGTAAACGCGATGTACAGCCTTGAAATGTCTTG